AACTATATATATATATATATATATATATAAAATTAATTGTAGCGATTACGAGAGAGCGATTTTCAAGAGCGTCCACATTGTAAACTTTTGCATATATACATGTATATATGTGCATACACATAAATAGTTAACATACAATGTAACGCGCGTGCTTTTAAAAACCATGATGAAACTCGCAATCATTACAACTATAACGCCACGACGTTATACATACTAATCTAATAGTTATCTTCTCTTTGAGCCGATCTTGCCGTACGCATTTTATCGTATAAGATTATATTGAACATCCCCTTCATGTATTAGGGGGAATCAAATTCTCCCCCCCTCCCCCTCAACTTTCAATGATACTTTTGATTACATTCGAGAATCGCATTTAATTGTCTAAACATACATGGTACATCTTTTTTCTCTCTAGTTGATTCGGATGAGTCAACGTTATGCGAGTGTCGGCGCGTGTTGTAACATTTACATCTTTAAAATTACAAAAGTTATGACATTTTTCTCGTACTTTATCGTCGGATTAATTTCTCCCGGTCATCGGGAGCGAATAATTTTATTCATTCTTCGTATTCGCGATTTATTTGCATATTTGCAAGAGAACAGAATAGTTAACTCGTCAACGGTCGATTAATTAACTCCGATTAACAATTTACCGGCTTTCTCTTTTGTATTATGGTCACCTATAATATACACAACGGGGTTCGACTACGGAAAGATTTAGTTAAGCGGAGTTAACATCGCTGACTCGAGCCTAGCGCCCGAGTTATCGATAACGCTATCGCATGGATTCTCTCGCATAATTACATGAACGTTATTCTTGTTACAGTAACGTAAAGCCGACGGCACAGATCGATCAAGCGCAAAATCGAGATTCACTGACGAGGGTATTTCGCTCGTTGATCGTCGCCGCTTCTCGCCGCCGTTTTCTCATTTGCAGATCAAGAATTGCTTATCTTATTTAATGTTCTAAACGATCAATATTTATTATCGACAGTCCATTATTGACACTTGTACTCTTGTACTTCTGAGAATAAACAAATCTCCGTCGTCATCTTCCGCGATCAGTCAAGATTTAACTGCAAAAAAACACAAGATCATTTAATTGATTGATCAAAGATGACTTTAAAATATTTTTTTAGGGATTTGTATCTGCGTAAGAGTTTTTTCATAAGACTTCGGAGATTCTTAATTGAAAACGTTGAATACGATATTATTAATATCAATCATGAAGAATTTTCAATTTTTCATATACATGCACATTCATCTTTGTAAATATTTTTATGTATTAATATAATATAATATTTTATGTTAAATATTTAATGCATATTAAGTGTAATAAAATTACGAAACTTTATTTCTTTGATCACAAACATATAAACATATTTTTCTAAAAAAAAACATTTGTGAGGAAAGCGAAAAAAAAGATGGAGCGTTTAGGAGACACAGATTTAACAACACATGTAATCAATAATAATCAAAGGACGCGTATCGATAAGAGATATTGATAGTTCTAAAACTATTTCACAGAGAAATGATTTGGAAAGCCCATTAACGCTCGTGTTACACAAAATATTGTCTTATATTTGACGTAACTTCCCTTAAAATTCTACACGATATATTAAAATTCTGCCGTTTACTCTGAGCTTCGGTTAACGATGTCATATATACGAAATAATGAGTTTATTTTTATACAAATGGATCTTTGCACCTACGACCCCGTCCCCTAATCCTGTAGAATATAGCTTCGTGTATTAATAAGTAAATTACATGCATTATTATATATCACGTGCGTGTATTGTTTTATTTTAACACTCGCCTATCTTCAAAAGTCAGTTTAAAAATCACAAATGTGATCAATTATGATCCCCTATTCGCGTTCCCAGATGAATTGACCGTCAACTGACTCGTAATGCAGATGTAATTAGCGAATATAATCAGAGGCTATAAAACATGACAGCCGAATATAGTTGTTGGAATATTTTTAGAAAGATTAAAGAAAAATCAAACATATTAATCATTAGGTAGAACTAAATTTAATTAATAATCGAAAATTAAAATTTGATTTCGTTTTTAGTGATATAAAAATCTTAGTGAAACTAAAACATATTTGTTACACAAGAAAATCATATATGTACGCTTTAAGTTGCTCGTATAAATCGTTTTAAAATAATACACCATTAATAAGGATTAATTAATAATTATATGGTCTATATATTATAATAATTGTATTAATAATACATAATTATATCTAATTATATAATTATTATAACATATTACTCCGTATTTAATATTTTATATTCAATAATAAAATATAATAGGTATAATTATTATTATAAATATATCGCAACAGTTAGACAACATCGCGATATTCTTTCGCGAATGACAAATTTCCATCTCCACACACAGAAATATAATAATGACAAAAATAACAATATGAAGCTAAATTTTAATAAATTTACGAAATACAGATCAATTGTTCAAATCTCTCGAAATGTTAAGGCATTAGAACAAAAATTGATCGCATAATTTCAACAGATGTAACTATATATTGTAATTATACCATATATTTCAATTTTTAAACGACTGAATGAACATTTCACCGGCATCTGCATTACTCGGTCAACGATCAAAATTTAGAAGACCAGAAGCTTACATTATAATTCATAAAGATCTGCCGTTAATTGGAATTGTGGTTGCAGTGGTGTTCTTCTTTTGCCGGTTGACTTTGTAGCGTCAAATATCGAGCAATGTAAACGAATTAGCGAGTTAATTAATTCCGTGTCCCTCTCCTCTAATCTGTACAACTCTCGGCGATTTCAGGATAAAATAATTAGTCTCTTTAAAAATATGATTTATATAAAACTTCTTTCTTTTTATATTTATATTTATTATATATTACTGCTAAACTTTATTTATATATGTCGGGAAGTTGATTATTGAATTTCTAGGACATTTAAAGTTAAAACTTCTTTGAAGATTTCGAGTTCAAAGGAAGTCGCAGCACGTCGCCAACGTGTTTCAGAACAAAATTATTGTCCGAGACGATCAACATCATTCAAGCAAACACAGTGATTCACTTTCAACTATTGTCCTTTTTCGTTCGCATTGCTCAATAACAAATATTCCATAATTTAATACGATACATAGGATGATTCTACTCATAATTCCTCGCTCCGCGCGATTTTCCGTTTCTCGCTTCGATTTTTGCCTCGCGAAAAATACCTTTAATTACGCACTTTCAGACTATAATTACCGATATTAAACATACCAATGACATACATGTATTGTGCATGATACGTGCTCAAGATCGAAACTAATGAATCAATGATATCATGATCGACACACATTACCAGATTGATAATTATTCAAAACTTACTCGTCTGACATTCATAAATATATGTTATATATTTCATACACAATATATATGTCCTATTTTGATGAGGCTTGATGAAGATTCCAACAGACATAATTTAAGTTTATACTTTCACTGCACGGTCAGTTGGGAAAACTCGCTATTTCGTAGCATATCCCTTCTCTTAACAAGTCTATCCATCTAGACTTACGTCTAGATTTAATTAATTAATTATTATCAACAGCGCTTCTCGATACTTATCTACAATTACCTATTTCTCATTGGCTCTCGCTCTAGTCCTCTCTTTTAGAATTTCGAACCTCGTTTTATTTGCGTTCAATTATTATTACTTGCAGACATCAAATATACGCGCGGACAAAGCGTCAGGCACTTGTAGATACAGAACGTCTATATGTATCGGATATTTTTGTATTGTATTTTTTTCTTAATGCGTATTTTCTCTGAACAATAGATCGTAACTATAAACAGTAGCAAAAATAACTGAAGGCATTCAGCGCAATGATGGTCCAATTTTCTCGAAGAAACTTGAGAGCTGCGAATAGAAAGCAATCTAAAAACAATTACTTAAAAAAATTGCATTTCCTATTATTTTTTTCAAATTTCGATTTCAAGATACACACATACACACACAAACACACACACACACACATATATATATATATATATATATATAATACAATTTTTATCTAATTTTTTTAATTTCTAATTTTAAAAAAAGTGCATATTAGATCATCAATTGCACCAAGTCTTTCAATCTTTTATTTTTTTTGACTTCATGGAAATTTCAGTTATGTCTCGTTAATATTTATAGAAACGATCTCATGATTTTACATTTTTCGCTCTTGTCGAGAATATAATGGGTTACACATTCTTCTGTTTGTTTTCGACTGATGAAAAAATCACGAGATGTTAATCACTTGATTTGAATATCAAATGTCGGAAAACGATGTTAATCCACATTACATGTCGCATATCTGTCAGAGAAGAAATGTTTATTCTTGTCACTTACTTTACTATCAGATACTTCATTCAGTTGTGATCTTATCTTTGCAGAGACAATTTAAGCATAATTATAACGAAAGCCGTCTCCTATTTTCACATAAAAAAGATACAGATATTTTTAACTTAATATTGACTATGTTCGCAAAACCACAAGATAACTTAGAAAATATCGAAATAAAAATAAACTAAAAAATCTATTCTATAACTCTTTTTAGTATATATTTTCTTATATTATATATTATAATATAAAATAATATATACATTATCTTATATTATACTGCATATTGATCACATGATAATGATATTGTTAAGAGATACACAATACGTCTACAGAGGATGTAATGCGATTGAATAAAACACGCGTAATAAAACTCCGTTGCGTTTCAACGTACAAAAAAGCGCGTTATGAGTCACGTTAATGAAAAATTGGCAGTTTCAATGTAACTTTTTTACATATATTTTATTCGACAATAAAAAAGATCGCATTTCTCAATAGAGATCTAGCTTTCACTATTGTTACATCGTTTAAAGCGAAATTTCGAGTTGCAGAGCGAATCGTGGATTAACAGACAATCGACAACACATCATCGCAATAGAAATATCGTACATCCGTCGAATTAATTTGATCGAAAGAGGCACATCTGCCGTTAAAATATTCCCATTATCCTCTCTCAATCAGAGCGACAGAGATTTATCCCTATTCTTGTTCGCTTAA